CCTTTACAGAGCCAGAGAGAGAGAGAGTGGCTTGGCTCTGGTTGACACAACTACATATGGCTGAGAACAAGTACGAGACAACTTAGGGGAGGGGAACTGCAGTCAGAGGCTTCCCCCAAAATCATGGACTGACTTCTGACATCGCCTGAGCATCCGCCCCGAGAATCCTTTTCAAGTTCGCTCGCTTTGCATTCTGATTGCCAGGCACTTGTAAAAGGAGACTCTACTCTGCCTTCCTCGTATCGATTCGGTTCGGTTCAATTTGCTTCGATTCGTTTTGGTTTGGTTTGGTTTGGTTTGGCTATAAGTCCACCTTAAGCCACTTGACCCATGCATCCCACCGTACGGACTACGAGTATCATAATAAAACGTATAATTTTCAGCAATTTAGCAATGCCGGACAGGACACACAGGCAAACAAAGTCTTAGGTAGAGGCTCAGCTACAGAGACACAGAGATACAGGGACAGAGACAGAGACGGAGACGGAGACAGAGGCAGAGACGACGGAAGCGGAAGAGTGTTCGTTCGATTTTGAAATAATACTTAATGACCGTAAAATGATGTAGTGAAAGTCAAGTGTCCTTTCGATTGCTCCTTTTGTGTGTTACGACCGGCCGTTTCGGGTGCTATAATCATTCTGCGGTTTGATGTTTGGACTCAAAAGATGATTGCAAATAATAATACAGTGTACGACAGTTGTGGTGTGGAATGACAGGTTGAAATTGATGCAATTTGTTTGGTTTCTGGGGACATAGAGAGAGTGTCCTGCCTCAAACAATCAAAACAGGAGTGGAGTAATATATAATTCCCAAAATGACTACCTGCTGTATCTTTAATTACTACCAATCGGTAACTCAGGCAGGAGAAGCAATAATCTTGATTGCTTTTATACATTCAATCCTTACGGAATGCCAAATGAAGTCTTAATCCTCCTCCTGCTGGTGCAACAACAACACTTCATTAAGGGGAATGACCATGGTCCATGACCAGGCCCCGCCCAACAGTTTAAAGCCCTGCAAAATGATTGAATATTCCAGCTCAATTGTGTACCAATTTCGTCTCCACCCAAAACAACACCTCAACAACAGTTGCCCTCTGTCAATCCATCATTATTTTCAGTGTAACTCGACACTAGAGGTATTTTCCACACTCGAACCTTATTTGGTATGTGTCTGTTGCTTTTGTTTGTCTTAGCCTTTGGTTTTGCTATTTGTATCCGTGCCTCGTGTCTCTGTAGTCGAATATTCAGCATGGGGGTGGAGGGAGGCAGAAGAAGGCTCTTAAAATGGTCATAAAGCAAATTGTGAAAAATTATTGTGTATATAAAATTTAATGACATGTCAAAAAGGATATCCGGCATACGCCATACGGCCCTACGCTCTCTTGTTGCTTCAACTGTGCTGTCCACAGACGGAGCTGGACAAATGGCGAAGGTCCTGTCCTGTTCGGTCTTGTCCTGTACTGTACTGTTCTGTCCTATACTGTCCTGTCCTGTCCTGTCCTGGCGACCATCATATCCTCGTGGGTGGACAGGACGTGTAATGTGCTGTAAGTCCTGCCACACATGACGCGCTGACAATTTTAGTTTAGTTGTTGGCGTATTTGCACGAGCACCAGTACGAGTACGAGTACGAGTACGAGTATTTACCCGGGCTTCTTTTGGGAACGAGGACAGTGACGGGGGACGGTGGACGGTGAATGGGGACGGACACCCAACAGAGAGCGACACACATAATCAAGAGCAACTTTATTATTTTGTCCAACCACCAACTATATGTACGAGTATTCTTCTCCCTCTCTCTCTCTATGTGTGTGTGTGTGTATGGGTTATTTTTATGCCCAGCTCAGAGCCCCGAGTCTCTACGAGTATATCTTTATACATATACTCGTATATCTGTCTGTTGTGTGGTCTTTATGCCCGTCATCATTATGCTTTTGCCTTGGCCTGGCCCGATCCGGCTCTGACCCAGCCCCAGCCCCAGCCCCAGCCCCAGCCCCGGCTGTGAGTCTTGTGCTTGCCTTTCGCCATTTGCCATGTTCGGAGCTGCACATTTTATAGTTTTCAAAAGTCACAAAAATGTCAATTGCTTGTCTTGTGCCACACGCCTCCCTCTCCCCTCTCCCCCCTCCCTCTTCTCCTTTCCCCGCCCCTTCTTTGTGGCCAAATGGCATTGAATAAATTATATTGTGGTCATAAAGTTGCAGCACCATGTTTACCCCACACACAGACAGACAGACAGACAGACAGAGGGACAGAACGACCGACAGAAAGATAAGGGGAACAAGGAGACATGTCCCTGGCTTATGTCATAATGGGCTATGCATTGGTATCTCGAAATCTTGTCCTGGTTCCGGACTCGGTTTATTTGCATGTGAAGCAGGCGTGGGCCCCACTCCCACTCAAAGCTAATCAGCGGCAGGAATTGATTTGGCGCCTCAATTGGATCAACAGAACATTCACCTCACACTCCGAACCGCCCCCGATAATGACCCACCATTAAATGATAAATTATGGCCAAGCATGTGGACTGGGGACTGGTGACGGGGGACGGGTGACGGGGGACGGGGGAGGGGGGTTGGTTCTTTTTTCGGGGGAGAACTTTTGAATTTTAATCAAGCTTTGAATTTGAGGCACTGGCATGGGTCTTGTGGGTCATGGCATTGGCCATAATTTCACTTTCATTACTGCGTCTTCTGCTTGGGAATGTCCTGTTAATGCCCTGCCAGACCATTGCCGAAAGGAGCATAAATCTATTTATGTGGTCTCTAGTTCCCTTCTGCGGTCTCTGGCGGCGTGGCTGTTTGCGCCCTTGGTAATTGAAAATATTTCAAATAATTCATAAAATTTTTATGCGATTTTCCCTCTCAAAAAGTAGTTTAGCTCTCCTCCAAGGGTGAGGCAGTCCTTGTTTCAAGTTATCAGATCGTATAACTCGGCGTAGATAATTGTTTTAATGATGTCATAACTTTGCCATTTGATATCGTACTTACCGAAATGGTTCCAACTGATTTATGTCCACCCCTCGCCATTGATTACTGTATAAAGTCAGCTTACTTTTCGGGTCATAAGTCTGTTGAAAATATAACAAATATTTGTGATAAATTGTTTCCACAAATTCGAATCGGAATAAAATTGGCATTAAATGGATTAAACTTGATTGGTTCTAAATATCACATCATCACACAGGAATCATGCCCAAGAATAGCCTTGACTATAGCATAGACTATGCATTTTGTTGTTGGATTCTGGGACCGACTCAGTAGCCCCCAAGGCATCGCCGAACAGAAAATGTGATGGACAGTATCTTCGCATTTTATAGTCTTTGGTAATATTTAAAGCTTTTGGCTGCTTAAACGATACCATTGGCAATTCATATTTCGTTGCGCGATTCAATCACTATATCCCCAAGTGTATCCACTCCTTCTCCCCTAAAAAACTCTCCATGATTCGTGCCCAAAAGTGGATGATGCATCAGCGTATGGGGACGGGGCCCGGGGCCTGGGGCCCTACTTGTAGATACTGTAGATAGGGGCATAGCATACGTAACGTAACCAGTTCGCCTCGCTCTCGACAAACGAGTAAATAACGGCGTTGCATGATTTATGTGGCCAAACAAAGCGCAACAAAACGACTGTTGCCTTGTCGGATCCCCCCGGGCGATGAGAGCTGTGCCACCTGAGTGCCCAAATCGCAGACTGACTGCTCTGCTCTGCTCCGGTACGGTCCGGTCTGGTCCGTCCGGTCCGGTCCGGCCGCTGTCCCTGCTCCACATCCAACCAATCCACCAACCCACATATCCATATATCAACAGCCACATCTGCGGGAATGCGGGAGTGCGGGACTGTGTGTGCGGGCGCTAACCACTTGAAAACGTTAAATAAGTTGTCTAACCACACATTAAACCAATTTGGCACTGCGCTGGCCGCCTGTCTGGCACCTTGGATAGCGTTTTCCTCTGGCCAGGGCACGGACCCGCGTCCTGGCCTAAGCCAGCCCAGGACCTCAGCGTGGGCACGGCCCACACATACAAGTCCCTGCTGGCTGCCATAAATCATAGGGCGACCCACGTATGTGACTACTTTGGCTAGGGGATCGATAAATTATTATTAGTTGGGGCTGTCCAACAATCCTTGTCCTCGTCCTCGTCCTCGTCCACGCCCACACTCCACACCCTCCCTCCGTTCCTGACGACCTCCATCGTTTTGGTATCGTTCGGAGGCGCGTGCAAAGGAAGTTGTTAGATCCCCAAAAAGGAGCGCTGACCGAAATCCTCCTCGGCGTTGCGGTTCAAATGCCTTTTAACTTAACAACTTTTTTTCTGCCCAGCCCCATCACCCCGGCTGCCAACACCCCGCACACAAACACACAAAAATCAATGGGTGACTTTGTCCTGCTGCTGCTGGTGTTGGTCCGGACCAGGAACAGGTCCCAGGACCAGTGCCAAGGCAAACCCTTAACGTTGTGTGTAAAGTGGACTTGACATGAGATTAACATCTTCAAAAGCATAGCTTAAAGTATTTGTTAGAGCACATTGAAGTTGCGCCCGAACAAGGTGGCAGAACCAGGACCAGGACCCGGGCTGACCCTTCACCCTTCCTTCATCCGGGACACCGTCCTCGCTGTGGGCGTCGTTTTTGGATAATTGCGTTCTTGTGCGCTGAGCCGTGGGCTTAACTGTTGCTGTCATAACTAAGCGAAAAGGTATACAATTTATGGAATCGAGTCCCTGCTCCCAGCTCCCATTCGTAGAAGCTCCACCCCGCGACAGGTGCGTGGGCGTGGACGTGGAGCGTCCTGCGAAACAAGGAAAGGGCCCCACGACACATGTACGATGTATACTATAACAATTTTCGTTGGATTTATTTCGTTGATTTCAATCGTTAAACAATAGCAAACAGAAGTCGTTCTTACTTAAAGCCTAATAGTGGTTGTTCTTGGTGGGGCGAGGGGGGTGAATGATTCGAGTCGTGAACGAGCCGCAGGTACATTTCTCAGTGCTTACAGGGCACGGCGGTGGCGCAGCTTCAGGCGACGCACGGTCTTATACTGGTATCCATCAGCAGCGAGAACAGCGGAATCCTGGCTGGCTTCTTCGATAGGAGCTTCCTCAATAGGAGCCTCGGTGACAACCTCCTCGGATGGGGGCAGATATTCGTTGGCGATCTCGGAGACATCACGACGCTGGCGGTACTTCAGGCGACGCACGGTCTTATACTGGTATCCATCAGCAGCGAGAACGGCGGAATCCTGACTGGCTTCTTCGACGGGAACCTCCTCGACTGGAGCATCAGCAACAACCTCCTCAGATGGGGGCAGATATTCGTTGGCGATCTCGGAGACATCACGACGCTGGCGGTACTTCAGGCGGCGCACGGTCTTATACTGGTATCCATCAGCAGCGAGAACAGCGGAATCCTGGCTGGCTTCTTCGATAGGAGCTTCCTCAAGAGGAGCCTCGGTGACAACCTCCTCGGATGGGGGCAGATATTCGTTGGCGATTTCGGAGACATCACGACGCTGGCGGTACTTCAGGCGGCGCACGGTCTTATACTGGTATCCATCAGCAGCGAGAACAGCGGAATCCTGGCTGGCTTCTTCGATAGGAGCTTCCTCAAGAGGAGCCTCGGTGACAACCTCCTCGGATGGGGGCAGATATTCGTTGGCGATCTCGGAGACATCACGACGCTGGCGGTACTTCAGGCGGCGCACGGTCTTATACTGGTATCCATCAGCAGCGAGAACAGCGGAATCCTGGCTGGCTTCTTCGATAGGAGCTTCCTCAAGAGGAGCCTCGGTGACAACCTCCTCGGATGGGGGCAGGTAGTCGTTGGCGATTTCGGAGACATCACGACGCTGGCGGTACTTCAGGCGGCGCACGGTCTTATACTGGTATCCATCAGCAGCGAGAACAGCGGAATCCTGGCTGGCTTCTTCGATAGGAGCTTCCTCAAGAGGAGCCTCGGTGACAACCTCCTCGGATGGGGGCAGATATTCGTTGGCGATCTCGGAGACATCACGACGCTGGCGGTACTTCAGGCGACGCACGGTCTTATACTGGTATCCATCAGCAGCGAGAACAGCGGAATCCTGGTTGGCTTCTTCGACGGGAACCTCCTCGACTGGAGCATCAGCAACAACCTCCTCAGATGGGGGCAGGTAGTCGTTGGCGATTTCGGAGACATCACGACGCTGGCGGTACTTCAGGCGGCGCACGGTCTTATACTGGTATCCATCAGCAGCGAGAACAGCGGAATCCTGGCTGGCTTCCTCGACAGGAGCGTCCGCAAGAGGAGCCTCAGTGGCAACCTCTTCAGATGGGGGCAGATATTCGTTGGCGATCTCGGAGACATCACGACGCTGGCGGTACTTCAGGCGACGCACGGTCTTATACTGGTATCCATCAGCAGCGAGAACAGCGGAGTCCTGGCTGGCTTCTTCGACGGGAACCTCCTCGACTGGAGCATCAGCAACAACCTCCTCAGATGGGGGCAGGTAGTCGTTGGCGATTTCGGAGACATCACGACGCTGGCGGTACTTCAGGCGGCGCACGGTCTTATACTGGTATCCATCAGCAGCGAGAACAGCGGAATCCTGGCTGGCTTCCTCGACAGGAGCGTCCGCAGGAGGAGCCTCAGTGGCAACCTCTTCAGATGGGGGCAGATATTCGTTGGCGATCTCGGAAACATCACGACGCTGGCGGTACTTCAGGCGACGCACGGTCTTATACTGGTATCCATCAGCAGCGAGAACAGCGGAATCCTGGCTGGCTTCTTCGACGGGAACCTCCTCGACTGGAGCATCAGCAACAACCTCCTCAGATGGGGGCAGGTAGTCGTTGGCGATCTCAGAGACATCACGACGCTGGCGGTACTTCAGGCGACGCACGGTCTTATACTGGTATCCATCAGCAGCGAGAACAGCGGAATCCTGGCTGGCTTCTTCGATAGGAGCTTCCTCAAGAGGAGCCTCGGTGACAACCTCCTCGGATGGGGGCAGATATTCGTTGGCGATCTCGGAGACATCACGACGCTGGCGGTACTTCAGGCGACGCACGGTCTTATACTGGTATCCATCAGTAGCGAGAACGGCGGAATCCTGGCTGGCTTCTTCGACGGGAACCTCCTCGACTGGAGCATCAGCAACAACCTCCTCAGATGGGGGCAGGTAGTCGTTGGCGATTTCGGAGACATCACGACGCTGGCGGTACTTCAGGCGGCGCACGGTCTTATACTGGTATCCATCAGCAGCGAGAACGGCGGAATCCTGGCTGGCTTCCTCGACAGGAGCGTCTGCAAGAGGAGCCTCAGTGGCAACCTCTTCAGATGGGGGCAGGTAGTCGTTGGCGATCTCGGAGACATCACGACGCTGGCGGTACTTCAGGCGACGCACGGTCTTATACTGGTATCCATCAGTAGCGAGAACGGCGGAATCCTGGCTGGCTTCTTCGACGGGAACCTCCTCGACTGGAGCATCAGCAACAACCTCCTCAGATGGGGGCAGGTAGTCGTTGGCGATTTCGGAGACATCACGACGCTGGCGGTACTTCAGGCGGCGCACGGTCTTATACTGGTATCCATCAGCAGCGAGAACGGCGGAATCCTGGCTGGCTTCCTCGACAGGAGCGTCTGCAAGAGGAGCCTCAGTGGCAACCTCTTCAGATGGGGGCAGGTAGTCGTTGGCGATCTCGGAGACATCACGACGCTGGCGGTACTTCAGGCGACGCACGGTCTTATACTGGTATCCATCAGTAGCGAGAACGGCGGAATCCTGGCTGGCTTCTTCGACGGGAACCTCCTCGACTGGAGCATCAGCAACAACCTCCTCAGATGGGGGCAGGTAGTCGTTGGCGATTTCGGAGACATCACGACGCTGGCGGTACTTCAGGCGACGCACGGTCTTATACTGGTATCCATCAGTAGCGAGAACGGCGGAATCCTGGCTGGCTTCTTCGACGGGAACCTCCTCGACTGGAGCATCAGCAACAACCTCCTCAGATGGGGGCAGGTAGTCGTTGGCGATTTCGGAGACATCACGACGCTGGCGGTACTTCAGGCGGCGCACGGTCTTATACTGGTATCCATCAGCAGCGAGAACGGCGGAATCCTGGCTGGCTTCCTCGACAGGAGCGTCTGCAAGAGGAGCCTCAGTGGCAACCTCTTCAGATGGGGGCAGGTAGTCGTTGGCGATCTCGGAGACATCACGACGCTGGCGGTACTTCAGGCGGCGCACGGTCTTATACTGGTATCCATCAGCAGCGAGAACAGCGGAATCCTGGCTGGCTACTTCGATAGGAGCTTCCTCAAGAGGAGCCTCGGTGACAACCTCCTCGGATGGGGGCAGATATTCGTTGGCGATCTCGGAGACATCACGACGCTGGCGGTACTTCAGGCGGCGCACGGTCTTATACTGGTATCCATCAGCAGCGAGAACAGCGGAATCCTGGCTAGCTTCTTCGACAGGAGCTTCCTCAAGAGGAGCCTCAGTGGCAACCTCTTCAGATGGGGGCAGGTAGTCGTTGGCGATCTCGGACACATCCCGACGCTGGCGGTACTTCAGGCGACGCACGGTCTTGTAGCGGTATCCATCCTCTCCCACGACAGCCGAGTCTTGGGCGATCTCTCCGAGGGGAGCATCGAGGGCAACTTCCTCTGCTGGCGGGACGTAATCGTTCACGATCTCGGAGACGTCGCGACGGTGCCTGGCTTGTTCGACAGGAATCACTGCAGCCGTCGCGGCGGCAATGAAGATGCACGCAATGAAAAGTTTCTGCAATGAGTAAGGAATTGAAATGTGTGTGCTTGGAGATAGGTAGGAAGTAGTCCTGGTAGATTCTCCTGGGGTTGGGATATTCACCATTTTGAGTATAGATCTCCAAGCTAATTGTTTTATCGATGGAATCTATGGGTCGAATGATTAATAGTCGCAATTTGTCGGCATATTTATACGCTCTAATGTTTGCCAAGCGGCGTGGCGCGGCGCGGCTCTGCTCGGCGCTCGCATAAAACCAAACAATGACCGGCACTTTGTTTGCCAGCAAACAGCAACGGAAACCGAATCGGAATCCGATTTCGACTCCGACTCCGACTCCGAATGGAACCGATACCAAAACGGTAACAAAAGCAGCAATCCCAGCAGAGCTTTGGTGTGGCTTCGATGGATTTGCAAGCCCAAGCTCCAACATGCGCCACTCAAGCCTTCAAGTGCCCAAGTGTTCCCCCAACAGCCTCCGTCTCGTCTTGGACTCTGTCTCAGCATCAGCTGGGAGCTGTGGTTCGGCCCAACCGTGCATTCCGCCGCTTGGGCAGAGGGGCTACTATTCGATGATTGCCCAGTGCGGAACTAAACGCTCTGCTCCACTCCACGTTTCGCTTTCATTTTCGTTTCGTTCACATTGTTTTGGTTACCTTTTGTCGTTTGTTGCTTCGAATGTTTTCACGGTCAAGTGCGAGCATCGAGCAGTGAGCATCGGTCACTCTTAAAAAGATCTAATGCAAAAAATATACAACAAATAATAATATTCGAATATTTTAATGACAGGCGTAAGTATTTGGCGTCGATCCATAGCCATAAACACATACACACACACATCTTTTATTAATAGCTCCGAACATTAATTTCTCAAGTGTGGCTATCGGTAATTTTCGTACTACTCGCACAGCAAGCAGTTCAACGAACTGCTCAAGATTGACGGCTGAGAAAAGGTCGCTCGCACGCTTGTTTGTAGCTCTGGCTCTGGCACTGGTAGCACGTTCCATTCGTAACTCTTGTGGCTGTGAAGGCAAATCGAGCCAGATCTTCAAGTTTAGACAATTAACTGCAGCTTTCATGTACGAACTGCTTGATCAATTTTTATCATGGGTAAATCGATCCAAACGCACTGCTTGATCTCTGCCCTCTGCAGGAGTAAGCGAACCATTCATTCGGGTTTCACCAATAAACTGCTTAATCGATTGATTCTCATGCATAAAAAGAAAAAAATTTACCAGCTAGAACCGTACTGCTTGTTTCCTTTCTTGTTGAAGTGCTTATAATTTCAGAGAAAATGGAACGAAACCTCCATGTTTCAGCGGTGCACTGCTTGCACCCTTTACTCTGCAGCCAAATCGAACCAAATCTTTTGCCAATATACTGCACGTAGACTGAGATGATATGAGATGATGAAGGCGTCCTATTTCCGGCGGCAGCTTCACCAGGATCTTTTTGGGAGATATCGATTAAGAGAGCTTCGGCAAAGGACCTTTCCCCTCATCAGAGGCTAAGCCGTCCGGATCCAGATTCGGATGCTCCTAGATGCTTCTGGTCGTAGCAACCATCCAGTCCAGTCACGTCTAGTGCCATACGGCCATAAGAGACATTAGGTGCTCAGACATGTAAATTTTACGGGGCAGAGTCTATCCAGCTTTATTTAGTGTATTTCTAAATGCTGTGGACTGCTTTCTTCTTTAAATGTTTAGCAGTTTTGTTTTTATTTTCTCCTTACTTATGTACTTACCACCAGATTATATTGTAAATCTCAATTCGAATTGATTCAGGATTGATCTTAACAAAAGAGCCACATCGATATCTGATCACAGCCACATCTCGATAATGTTATCGAAGCAAACACCACGCGGAGGAGCAGTATCCTTCTAATCAGCTAATTGTCAAACAAAACAACAGCCAAGTCAGAGGAGAGCTTGGTGCTTGGTTCTCGGTGCTCGGTGCTCGGTACTTGGTGCTCGGGTAATAAAGTATATACTGTTAACCCTGCCAAGCAGCAAAGATATCAAAGATTTCTCTGAAAATATGCTGCACAAGCATCGGCGGCAGGGGGATGGGAGCAGAAATCAACAACAGCTTACAAGTTCTGGGCATGTTATGCGCTGCCGAAAAACTTTGGCTATGAAATTCCTAAACTTGGCAAAACAAGCAGCTTGTTCATCCGAAAGGAGCGGAGCAAGCAGGAGGGGCAGACACAGACACGGAACGGGGGGAGGAGCAGGGTAGGGAGTCACAGTTCGCAGTTAAAACTTTTCACAAATCATGCATATGATTTTTTTGGGCACTTTTACTTTGGCGCAAGGGCTAATTAAAGGACAAAATTGGGTAAGTTTTCCTGGGCTTCAAGAGTCATCTCATCTTAAGGTTGCGTGCCCCAATGTGTGTCAAGTGGCAGTAAGTGCAAAACAAAACAAATGGAGTGTGCAATCTGCTGTAAACAACCATAAATTCTGCGAGCTCCTTCGTTGCTGCCAGGGGAACCAGCCGAACTATCGCCATCATAAAGAGGGCCACAACCAGGCCCAGGCGTCCCGTCTCCCCATCCGATGCCCAAGAACCATCCAAGAACCAGCACCATCTTTATCGCAATCATTCACATCGCCACTTGTGAAATCATGGCAGGCCACCGCCGAGAGATGAGTATGCGTATATTTTTGGTACTGCCGGGCGGCAGGAGGAACTACGAAGTATGAAGTAGGAATGAGAGAAGGAACCGGAGCATGAACATCCTACGACACATTATAATATATATAAACGATGTTTCATGACAATCAATTTGTTACAATTCAATAGACACACTCGGTATGGTTCCATATATGTTGTGTTGTGTTGTGCTCTCATTTATGTGATTATTTGATTTGTGTTCTGACGTTGACATTCATACGAACACAACAGAACAGGCATAAACCCAGCCGTACAGAATACCGACTAGAAAACAGTCCAGAGCTGTGTGGAATCAGTGCCCGACCGAAGCTGCTCTCCTCCTCGCATAACGAATTTTATGAACTAGAAAGTATCATTAATTTAATACGCATTCGCATACGCAAACAAGCACATTGATAGGCGAGTGGGAGGGGTGTATGATAAGTGTATGTATATGTGGGTATATGGTTACTGAAATGTGGGATCTGTGGCATGATGCGGCCGTTAGTTATGCTCTTGATCATTGTAATGTAAATATGGAACGGCACTCGCTCGCTGTCCTGTCCCGTCCTGTGGTCCCTGGCCCTGGCCGCGTGCTATCATAAATAAACATTCGACACAAACACAATAAATGTCAAAAAGTTTCGCCATTATCCGCTTGCCAGTTAATGTCCTTGTCGTTGTCATCGTCCTCGTCGTCGTCGTCTTGAAAGCATACAGCGCTTTATTATTTTAATGATTCTGCAAGTGGAGAAAGAGAGGGCCCATCCTGTCAGCACTATGGGGTCTGTCCCTGTCCCTGTCCCTGTCCCGGCCATATCCCAGGCCTGGCCCTGCGCTACGTCCTGTGGCATTGTGTTTACATTTGTAATTCAATTCGCGACCAACCGCTTCCCCCGTAGCCACCCGAAAAACTCCACCATCTCCAGCTACAGCTCCACGGCTACAGCGGTTCTGTGGCTCCGGCTCCGGCTCCGGCTCTGGCTGTGGCTCTGTCCGCTGGTTATTATTTTACATGTCGTTCGCTGGTTCACTATAATTTATTAGCAATTTGCATAATTTTCTTTCATAAAGCATTGCCACTGCTCTCCGGGCTCCGTGCTCCGTGCTCCGCGTTCCGGGCCCTCTGCTCCGCTCCGCTCCGCTCTCCATTCGCTTTTAATGCTGACATCGCGCCGCGTCCGTCAACTCTTTTGGTCCAGTGTTATGCAAATGTGTCGCCTCGTAATATCCATGAGTTCTGCCCAGTTTACGGTTATGCTCGATCGTTATCAATGCTACACTTTGTGGCCCGATTATTGTTGTTGCTTGTTTTTGCTGCTCGTTCACTGAATCTCTGAATACATCTCGAAATTTGCATTCACAGCTGCTGCCAATCGACAGATGTAGAGAGTTCAAGCGAAGGTCTCCGAGATCGCAGAGGCAGCAGCTGCCGGTAAATGTTGGATTTCGATGGGTAAATATGTCCAGGATCCGAGTAAGGCCAGGCAGAAGGCCTCATTCTACTGAATGAGACACGTTTCTTAGACCAAGAAATATATGTGTGTGCCCCCTGCTCGGACATTCGTTCAGAGTATCCTTTCGGATTCTTCACTTAAATAAATAATAAATAAAATCAAGAGCCAAAAGACAAAGGATCCCATGTATCATTTCCCCAAGCTGATTTCCCCTCATTATCCTAATGAAAATCGTTGAATTTTCAGCATCCCATCGCCTCACATCGCATCGTCGCTCCGCAGCAGCAGCAGCTCTGAACTCTGAACAAACAAAGAACGAAACGAAAGTATCTTTATTATCTTTTAGCACTTCAGGAATTGTTTTTATTTTTCCTGCACTTTTCTGCTCTTTTCTGCTGTTTTCCTGCTTTTTCTTCTGCTGAACTTTTGGCTGCATAAACAATTAAAAATTAATTTTAAAACTTTGCCCAAAGATAAATGCAGGATGAGGGGAAGGAGCCAGGGGAGGCACCAAGGAGTGAAAGGCAGCAGCCCAAGGATCGAGATCCAGTTAGCTCATTAAACCCGCCACATGGTCTTGCGGTTGTGTCTGGGGCAACTTTCCGATTGCCAGAGTCCCAGAGACCCGGACTCTGGGCATCATTATGTAATCTGTGGGGGCAAGCATCTGCTTTGAAGTCAATGAAACTAAGCGAAAACTATTTAAAATACAATTTAGTGCAAATCAATCGACAATGGATGGGTTTTGCAATTAGGCACCCCAACAAAACAGAGCACAGGGTGGCAGTGTGGCAAAGTGGCAGAGGGGCAGAGGGGCAGCCACAACCGCATGCATACTTACGAGCACACAAACACCCTCTATAGTCGCTGTATATAGAGACAGAGTCAACGTTATTTCATAAACACGCTCAAGTGATTTGGCAAACTTATGCCTGATTGGCCCCGTAGTCCCGTGGCTCCAGCCACAGGCTCAAGCCCCAATTGCTAACCCGAAGGCATCAAGCCCGAAGTCCCCAAACCCAAAACGAGAGACCAAAGCCCAAAGCCCAAAGCCCAAAGACTGAGACAGAGAGAGATTCTCTCTGTTTATTTGGCTGTCTGTTTGCCCTGACGGGGCAAAGGTCTCCGGGAGACAGGGAGACAGGGAGTCCGGGAGCTCCACTGTTTGACTTGAAGGTATTAGAAACTAATTTGTACAGCAGCCAAAGCAGCCGCAGCGACAGTACAGTAGAGTAGGAGAGTGGAGGAGTGCCGGAGGATCAGAAGAGCATCTCGGGGCAAAGCTAACCAGGATACAAACAGCAATTGTTTGCCTGCTGTCCATCCATCTATCCATGCTAGGCTTTGGCCTTAGTTGGCCATCCACTTTGGTCGGTTGGTCGGTCGCTCGGTCGGTCTCTTTCGCTGTTTTCGGGTTGGGATTTGAGCCCCTTTGTACAGGCCCAAGACAATAAGTAAAAAATCCAAAGGCAGGCCAGGCCAGGCCAGGCCAAATCCTTAACAATAGCTGGAACAGCAACAACAGATGGCTAAATCATATGCCTTGCCTCCACTCCGAGAAACAACAAAAAGGGGGCGACATAGACAGACAAAAAGGACACACCAGTCTCGTCTCGGTTTTTAAGTCGCTTGCGGCTTAAATTTTCTTAAATGTTACATTGTCTCTGGCAACGACAACGGCAACGGCAACGACACAGAGACGGCCACCTGCCTCTGTCGACCCGGACATGCCATCGCTTTTTATGGTTTAACTAAACAATCTTCTCATGAGTAAATATTTTCGGTCATATTTTGCCATCCAGCAGATGCAAAACTTTACAATGAAGTTGGCTCTGGGATGCTGCTGCTACTGCTGCTGCTCCTTGGATAAGTACATTTATCTTTAAGACTAAAAACCATAACAATTTAGTGTTGGAAATTTTCGAGATACGCATTGCAAAATTTATACAGACAGCCCCACTCCTTGATGGGGATGGTGGTCCCCTGCGTGCGTGTGTGTGTGTGTGTGGGTGTGGGTGTGTATCTGGCAGATATTCGCACAAATATTTACCCGGGTCGAA